AAAGAACAGGTTTTGGTTTTAGTTTTGTTTACTCTTTCCTCAAGATGTAGAAAAAATTATCTCATCGTCTAGCCCCTCCCTGCTACTGTGTGTATCTGAGCCCCATTGTATATAGTTATGCTGTCCATGGTTTCATTAAAGATGACTCAGAAGAACAGAAACTGTGATCCTATGTGACTGGGTTTGGTGGGGGCATTTTCACACTGCTTATCGCCAGCTCAGCAGAGAGAAACGGGTCTATGCCTATCACGCTGCCCAATCTCATCTCCGAATGAACTCTTAAAAATTCCCACTAAGCAAGCTGGGCCAAGGGCCAGGAAGGTCCTTTTATAAGTGTTCATCCCAGCTCATACCACGCCTCAGGCCACTCGGAGCAGGCCGACAACATGGGGGAGGGGTGTCCTGATCTGTAGTTGAAATTTACCAGACAAGAATGACAAGTATCCCCAACATTGTCACCCACTGGATCCTGCCCTCCAGGGACTCGTTCTTTTTGCTTACATGCTCAGATTGGCTTATCACTGAAACTGTGTTGTACCCTACAAATTTATGGCTGGGGCTTGGTCAAGGGGAGTAGATGTCCTAAACTCTTGCCCCGAGCATAAGTGAAAGTCCCTGGGGCCTCAGAGCTCAAGGCTCTCTGCCAAGCCTCCGCTGCCAGTCTTCCCCAAGGGCAGGAATTCTGATAGGAACACACTCCAGAGACCAATGAACAGCTGCCTGTTCAAGACCAAAAAGGACTCACAAATTCCCAGGACTGCCCCCCACACCACCACCACCACCACAGCCCAGTCCTTCCATGCTTCACGGGTGTGTCTATGACCATGCTAGCCAGAAGTATTCAAATCCTCCCAGCCGTTAGCCAGGTCTGCTTCTTCTCATGGAGATGGGGCTGCCAGCTTTAACGGGTGGTCTAGGACATGCCCCCTCCCTGCTGGGAGCTTCAGAGTCACCAACCATAAAGTGTCAGGTGGGACTGGAGGCCACCTACAGCAGAAAGCCATTCCCAGAGCAACCACAGAATGTCATTATTTCTAAACTGCCTCATCTCTAGCTTACACAGAAGCCTTTAAGATTACTAAAGGCTCAGGGGACACCACCATGACAGGGCCACTCTCATGCATGGGAGGAGGGGCTCCGAGGCCTCTTCCCCAAGCCCCTCCCCATCTGTCTGACACCATGCCAGGGAACTACCACTGGGAATTTCTTTTAATTAAACCATTCTCTTCCCTGTGTTAAATGAAAATGCCCCTGGGAAGGTTAGGAGAGCAAGACTTTATCAACCATAAAAATCTTAGGGCAAATTAGTTTGTCTTTTTTTTCCCCTCCTAAAGTGGTAATTCACTTTGTTCTACAAAAAAAAAGAAAAAAGAAAAAAGAAAAGATCCAGGCAAAGAAAGTGTGGGTGGTTGGGGAAGTAGGCGTGCTCCTGAAAACTGGCTATAGTTATGCAGAAGCCGGAGGGAATCTTGTGAGCGTTTGGCTGAGTAAGAACCCTAGAAGGCAATATAGGAGCCAAATATAGGAGTCTCCTAGACTTGAAAGGGACCCAGGCCTCTGTTGGACCATACTAGCCCAGTGCCACCAGACAAGCAACATCCAGAAGTCACTAGAACCCTACGGTTACCTGAGGACCATAGTGAAGGGATGTGTCAGGGGGCTGAAGATATCCACTCATATCCCTGGGAGTAAGGCTTCCTCCTTCCAGGCCCAACCCAAGCTAGGCTACAACAAGGCCCAGGCAGGCAGGAGGCCATCAGGAGACCAAGGTCAACTTCACCCCCAGAGAAATGTCCATCCAAATAGAACAAGACAATCCCCCACAGCTGGGGCTGTCTCCACAGGGGCTGCACATGTGCTGTGAGCAGGCAGAGACTCCTTCATGGCTGGTTCTAGGCCAACCACTGCTTAGTCTAGAAGGAAGGGGCTACTGAGGAACCCTGAAAACATAACAAAGATACAATGGTCCCAAAGCTGCCACTGCATCTTGACCAGCCTGAAGGAACTCACAGAGGGAAGGCACCCATCCACAGCCAACATCTTGCCAGGGCCAGCTGTAAAATGGATGCCTCTAGAGTCTAGAGTCTAGACAAACGCCCTGCTCCTTCAAGGGCTTTATACAGACCATCTCGGGTGGTAGAAAAATGGACCCCCAATGTCCCAAGACTAAAACTGTGGATGGTGTTTTGAGACTTTCCCCAGAGATTTGCCCCACCTCCTCCTACCCCCATTCCAGCAACTGGAGTCACAGTTCAGGCAGACAGAAGAGAGGCTGGACAGGCCTGGGTTATGGAGCTTCAGCTCTGACCACTCAGGCAGCCACCTGACACTTAAAGGTTTGCTTTGTCTGGTTTTGGGTTGGGGTACACCACAGAGTTCGACTCCCAAATCTCATGTGAAACCCTGACATCACTTTCTTCCCAGGTGACATCAAGGCGGGGAAGTGTGCTGGACCCGTATCTGCCCCTGGGGGTAGGAGGGGTACCTTACTCACCAGTCTGTCCTCAGAGGACAGGACCTGGCACCCGACAGACACCAACAAATGAACCAATGAGGGTCCACACAATTAGTCACTGGGAAGGGAACTGAGCTTGAGAAGGAAGAAAGGTGAAATTAATAGAGGAAGTGGCTAGGTCAGCCACTGCTTCAGTTTTGCAAGGAATAAAGTAAGCTGGCAAAAACTATCAGAATAATGAAAACTTGAGTGGTGGCCTCTTGATGAGGGCACCCCATGCAAGCACTCATAGGCACACTGAACCCTGGAGGACAGTTACTAGGAAACACAGGCTTCTAGAAGTCTCAGCTCCAGTTACACATGACCACTGACATTGAGGGTCAAAGGTCACTTTATGTCCACTTCAGTTTTTCCTGTGACACACACGAATCCCCTCAAACCTACTTCCCTCAAGCAACACGTGGGAAGAAGGGCTTTGGCCTTACTTAGTACAAGGGGGAAAGGCTGTGTCCAGTCCACCCTGCCCTGGACAGGAAGTGAAGGCTGTCTCTGCCCACACAGAAAGGGCTGTTTCTCCAAAGGGTACTTCCAGAGTGAATGAGAGTAATACCCTGACTATTGCTAATGCAGATACTGAGGCAGTCTGAAGGACCACCAGCCCCTGCCTTGTGTAAAGGCCACATGAGCAGCAACACAGCCAGCTCCGGGCCTCTTTGCACACACACGTAAGGCATGGGATCCCCTCCAAGAACCACACAGACAGCTGCACCCTAAAATGGTTAGCTGGTCAGATACTGACTCAATCGCCAAAAGTAGAACAGGAAATGGAAAAAGTTTCTCACTTCCCTCCAGGTGTTTGGGGCTGAGTACCCTCCTCCCATTTCCGTGACGTCATGGTTGCTGACAGGGGCAAACAGGGCACCCTTTGAAGCTCTCCCGCAGAAGCCACATCCTCTGGAAAGAAGAGTTAAAAATACAGAGTTAGAGATAGCATCTCTCCAGGCCACGTGCCCAGAAGAGGTAGGCTGGGCCGTTACACCGCAGCCCAACCACAGGTGCAAAAAAGAAGGCCAAGAGGCACACTGGGAGGGGCTTGCAGGCCCTGGTGCTAACATCCATCCCAACAACCGGCTGGGGAGGCACTGTTCCTCCACTCTAGAAATCCCCCTCCCCTGATCTCTATTTCCCTCAAATCAGACCATTCTATATACGTAGTTCAAGAGAGAAAGCCCATGTCCAGCCCACCTTGCGCAGGACAGGATGCGAAGGCTTCATCTGCCCACAAACACAGCTAAGGCTGGTTCCTTAAAGGATACGTTCCGCAAGAAGCCCCATACTCTCTCGTTCCCACTCCAGGCTTAAGTGTCGAGTGATGGTAGCCCTGGTGGACATCTGTCTTTCAGGGTCCATGGAAGTCACAGAACCTGAGACCTGAAAACCTTTAGTCTTGGTGTCCCACTCTGTTGTAGTGCCCCAAGATGCCCACACGGGGGCAGAAGTACTCCACCAAAAAGGCTGCTTCTCCCTTGGTCTATTCTGGATAAGGAAAATCCCCACAGCTTAGGAAAAACTCTTTCCACGGGAAAATAAAATGGCAAGTGACTTCTGTTTCACAAGCCCTGCCCTGTGCCAGTCACTGCACCGGACTCCAGACTTGCGTGATCCTGCCACTCCGCGAGAGTCCAGGGTCAGGCACTCAGGCAGCAGGGGGCACTGCCTGCCCAGGTTTATGAGAGCCACCTACAAGAGGAACCCAGAGAGAAGCCACCCTGCTGGAAGCCAGGAGGGCACAGGCAGATGGAATATGGGAAGCTGGCTGGCCCAGAATCCATGGCTTCAGGATGCATAATCTGTGACGCCACAGCCTCAGTTTCCCACTTTGTACCAACATTCTCTCTTAGGTAGTTTAGGAACCAAGGCTTTCTTCACCCGGGATACCTGTCAGGACACCGTGCCAGATTTCAGGGACTCTGTGACACCATACAGAAGCTGAAGAACAGGCCAAAGGGATAACCCGTGGCAGGCACTCACATGCTGGTGTCACATGCTTGAGAGAAGGGAATGGTGGGAACAGAACACACAGGGTTTGAAATTCGGGGCTGCTGACCTGGAATGTGGATGAGGGGCACACTGGGATAGAGGCCTGTCAAAATGCATCAAACTGGAAAACCTCAGTTTACTGCATTTCTGTGTGTATAAACTAAACTCAACAGAGCGCCTGAAGCCAAGGAGTGCACAGTCCAGGCAGTGGGTGAGTGAGAGAGACATCAGTGGCTGTAATTTCCTGGCCTCTGTTAATATC